ACAAATAAGATACAGTTTTCAAGATCGACCTAAACCTGACTTTTAGCCATAGAAAAACGTAGTTGACACACATAATTGGGTTATTTAATTAAGTCAAAATAATGTTCAGGGCACAGTAAAAGGAAAGGCATTTTAGCGGTATTTTAGATTCCTTGGGAAACGCAATTTTAAAATACAGCAAAGACCAATAGCAGTCGTGTTTCGAAGTTTGTTGTTTATTTTGTACTAAAAAGGTCTCAGTTTTTGTCATTTCGACAGCAGTCTTCTACTACACCTACCGCACCAGGACGTAGCCAAGGCGGTCATAGTCGGCCTTCATAGCATCTGTCACACTGAAGGTCAACGGGTCGTAGCGATATTCTGAAACGATAACAGCAACAGAGCAGTAGGGCCTACTGTGTGTGGCCTACTTGTAGGGCCTACTTGTGTGTTTAAATGTGTGTCTGTCTGTGTATGTGTGTGTGAATGTGTGACCATGTGTGCCTGTCTATGTATGTGTGTGCGTGGATGTCTGTGTGTGTGTGTGTGTTTAAGTGTGCGTCTGTGTGTGTATGTCTGTGTATGTGTATGTGTATGTTAGCGTTGTGTGTTGTGTTGTGGGGGTGCATGACTGTGTCGGATCTTGACCGTGACAGTATGGGGTTTGTTTAACAATATCTAGTTCCCCAAGACCGGGCAACACAGAAGGAGTTAACTGTTGTAACAGACATGTAACATATTGTTACCTCTGTAAACTACTAATTGTAAACCAACAGACCCTACCCTAGGTTCTAGATTTCCGAATTGCCAGCTCTATCTTGATTTCATATATAACCCATATCAGTAATACGAAACTGCTGAAGCCCGTGAACAGGTTTGAATAATCATCAATCTAGCTTCACAGTGATCCTGACACTCAGGGCAACATACCCCAAATAGCACATAAAAATCATCTGCAACAACTTCTCCCAATCTAGGCACAGAAAGGATATAACTTACCGCCCTCCATTTTGCTCAACCAAGAATAGAAGATGTGTACATGTAGATATCTCCGCAGTCCCGTCTGTGCCGATCATGTTTACACTGCTTACATAATATTGACCCAGTTCTGTAGCTACATGTACATGGAGCGTGCTGTTATCAGCGAAGGTTGATATTCTCACTATCTCCTCCGTTTTAAGGCCAATTTATGTACGAGTCTGTACTTGTGATCTTTAATTACTAAAATAATACTCATATTTCGCCTTGCATGCTGGTTTACTAACCATTTATCGACAACCCAGGTCGGAAGCAATTCTCACTTAATTCCTAAAATAATGCAACTCATATTCCGCCTTGCATGCTGGATTACTAACCTTTTCTCGACAACCCAGGTCGGAGGCAATTCTCACTAAAACTTTTTTTCATTTCTTTTTTATTTTTACAAAATTCTCCTTGACTCTTTTCACATTGTAATTTCATCGGTTGATCATAAATCTGTGTTTTTACTGTAAATATAAAAAGGTTGGCGTGCTATGGGAAAAGTAACAGACATCTCGTTTTCCGATTGCGTTAGTTGGGAATTTTTGCAAAATGTGCAAAATTGTTCGTTTAAAAATTCAAAAATAAGTTTAAAATTATTGCACTACGTGGGTGTAGAACCCGGTAGATTGCACATTTTTGTAGGGAGATACGCGCCGGCCATTTCGAATAATTTTGCACATACGTAGGCCTACATGTAGCCTACAGTATGTGGCACTTTAGTGGTCTACAGTGTTAACATAATTAACTGATTTTTTTCAGAATTTGAGAGAGGGAGTAAATATACTAGGAAATGTTTTAAATGTTTCTGTTTTAATGTTTATATATGGAGAAAACAGAAGAAGAAATAAATCACTGCCTAGGTATGTGTTACATGGGAAAAAGAAGGTGACGAACCCATACGGGACCAGCCGAATATTGAGGTTTCAAACCTGTTTCGGTACTAACTCACCTTGTATTTATCACCAAAAATCTCTTATTGGTTTAATTGATTTTGATAACTGTAAAAAAGGAATTTGATCATAATGCAATATCCTTTTAGTATATTGTCTTATTAAATTGGTACTACTTCACAAGTAAGATAGTGTAATTGGATTTTGTTTGTGTTTGATTGAAATCTTGCACAGAAGTCACGTAGCCAGGTTTACGTCACTTCTGAAAATTGACCGGTACCGTCTTGGAAACAAACGCCACTGTACATACAGTGTGTATATATATTACTGCCATTAAAATACCATTTTCGAACCATCATCTTTATTTCTGTATGCAATTAGTAATAATCATGAACGTGGTGTAAGCATGTGTGCCTCTTTAAAAGGTTCGCTAGAATTTGCCTCGAAATAAACAAACACAAGTTACGAAAATTTCATTATATCTTTGAGAAAGCTGTTTTAAATGTGGAAGAAAATCTGTGTAACGACCCCTTTACTCATCAGGGGAAAATAGACCTTCGACCATTCTGTTCGGAAACGCATGCGCAGCTATTGCAATAGTGGCCACGTGATTGGGTCCATTTCACAAATAAACCTGTGAGTGGAGGATTCGGAGCCATCATTGTCATTCCAACCGATCTGAAATGAAAAAAGACACCAAAACATAAACATTTGAAACTGCCGCACTTGTGGATTTAATCTTACAACACAACATTTATTTCCAACAGATAGATAATATACGGCAGCGAAAATAAAGGCACTTTATTTAGACACATTAGAAAGGTTTATAAAAACATGAATTTGCTATTTTGATTGAAACTTTTTTGACAGCTTATATGGCGCTTAGGTCTACTGGGATTAGTTTACCCCACGGCAAAGTCATATTTACGTAGTTTTTTTTAAATATTTTGTAAATTTGACTGGCTTGTAATAACACCCACCGTCTGCTTGCTGTAGCTGCGGTTCCTGTTGAACACCAAGGTAAGGAAATCTTCTCCGCGGGACGCTCCGTTCGGCTCTGGGTCGTGCCAGTCTGTGTAAGTTACTGGCGTCTCTGGAATGGACAACGGGATTACTATTATTATTTTTTTTTGTAATTGATATGGGCTTAGTTCAAATACAAATTAGACCCCGTTCCCATGCCAATATCGATCTAGCAGGATGGATCCATCTTCGAGGGGTTTCTTGCTAAATTGCATTCGGCTTAATTGGTTTTAGATGTCTGGCACGCCTACTAAAGTTGTTAAATGATAATTAATTACCCCCGAGCAGTTTCAGTAGGCGTGACAGACATCTAAGCGATTTAAGTTTAATTAAAACTACCCCAAAACAGCTTCAGTAAGCGTGCCAGACACCAGAGGATCGATCCTCCGATGAACGAACGGGGTCTCAGAGAGAGAGAGAGAGAGAGAGAGAGAGAGAGAGAGAGAGAGAGAGAAAGAGAGATAGAGAGTCTTACTTTCCCCAGAAGTGCTGTCTTCCCAAGCCCAGCCATCTCCGTCTCTCACTCCCCCAGTCCACCACTGTTCATAACCATCTCTGCGCCGCCAGGGGGTGTTGGTGTAGTAAATATCCTTAAGAACAAACCTTCATTACATCAATGAACTACACTTACATTTGGAAAATGAGAAACTTGCCTTTTTCATTATTTAACAACGTATCACCGGGAATAGGTGGAAAGTCATAGCAACCCCAATAATAACAAAAACCGTGGTGACAACTGTAGGTTAAACATGAAATATTACTTTCTCCGAACAAAAATAAATAAATAAATAAATAAATAAATAAATAAATAAATAACGTAGGTTAGAGAAAGGGTCAAGTGTTTATATACCGATATTTTCCGCCCTAAAAAGTCGTTCTCGTCCTCCGTCTCTATTGCAACAAGAGAAGACGCCAGCTCTTTGCAAGCCGCCTTAGCTCCAGCCTGCGTGACGTAGTCCAGGCCAAACTTATAACAGCTCAGCAGGTATCCATGCCATCCTTCTGGGCAGTCTGGATATATGAATAAACTGTAAACTACAGGATATTCTGTCGTATATATAAATATATACATAATTAGTTGAGTACATATAATATTTTGAAAATTTGAAAAATCAAATGTGTCCAATAACAAAAAACACATGAACGAGCACATTAATCTTTGATGTTTTTGCATGCATATACATAATTTTTTTATGTGTAAACCATTGTAAGATAAAACCTCACCATTTTAGCAGATATCTCGAAAAATATATGAGACATGCCAGCCAATTTTTTTAAAAACCCTAATATCCATCCATGAAAATAAAGATTTTAACTTACCGTCCACCAGAAGCACGGGCGGCGGTTCCTTAGGTCCGTCGTAAGGTCGGCCCAGCGTCTGGTCTATCAGACCGATACTTAAAGTCAGCAGTAAGAAATGGAATGCGGGTGTCATTTCTATCTTTCTTCTTGGCACGCACGAGTGAACGGCGCGACAGTTTTGTCCGGACTTGAAAAATCCTGTCAGGTCTACAGAGACGTGCCGGTGTATTTATACTCTGGAACATCCGGGAATGAGAGCACGTTATTAGCTGTTAAATGAAGCTATTATCTATTGTCATTAATATGATTATTATATATGCTATTGAATTTCCTTTTTTTTTCATTTTACCCATTACACTTCATTCAAACATGTAATGTGGCAGGGCCAGTTTTGAAACATGCCGTTATACACTAGCTGTCATGCTATAAAAGAAATGTTCCAGCCTGAAACAAGTGAGAGCAATCAAATATAAACACTCATAAATATAAACTACGAAGGCAGTGATGGTTGTTCATAGTTTCATATGTAATATTTCTAGAAAATGATATTTGCTAACTGCATAATTTCAAATGCGAGTTCGTTGACTACACAAGCCAGGGTGTCTCTGCCGCTTCCAGTAACAGTGGAAAGCATGCTGATACATGTATGTAGTAGTGATACTATAAAGAAGTATACAGTGTATAATGGCAAATTTCTAGCAAGATTTTTTCACCAAAGCCCAGACGTAATAAAATGTGAGCACCATTTCATATCCGAAAAAAAAAAGGGTTTTACTTTTAAATTTGGGAAAATTCATTGAGGTAATTTTAGAAAGAACGAACTCTTCGGCAGAAACATATTCTTTACTATTTTGCTTACTTTTTATCATTTTTATTACATTTCTCTGTAGCTAAATCCTGTATGTTTTACGAGAGTAAATCATCTGTAGGCCTACTGTCTGTAAGGCCTGCATATGGCAACAAATCGTGAGACGTGTTAAAGAGATGACTAGTAATTCTAATAGACCAACTGTCGACAGCAGGATTGGAAATTGCTTTACAATTACAAGGTAGCTCAGATTTTTTTCAGTTGTGACTACGTCATTTTGATATTTTGTTATCTAATGACGTCACTTTGGTTCCTTCCCGCCAACGTATGTTCATTTGTTTACGCAGCCTTCGTGCTGTTTATTTCCATTTTTACACAGACATGATTTAGAATTACTTACTTAACTATGATTACGAATTAAAATGTCTACAAATGAAATCACATTTACCTCGTAGATTGCCAACTGAAATATTCGATTGACTCGGTGAACTCTATTTCCGAAACCCCACATGATTACTAATAAAACTATGATTAAAATAAGTGGCTGACCTCGACTGTGTTTGTATGCCTAATTTCTGTGATGGAGGAACGAGTACGTTGCACACTATTGTTGGCCAAAATTCTCAAAATAACGCACCACTTCTATTTTTATTTCCAAGGATTAAAAAATCGTCTAAACATGTATGATGTACAAAGGAGGTACCCAGTTGATAACAATTAACAGTGATTCATTTTAAGGCGTGGCGCTATTAAAAATTTTATGATCGACCTAAACCTTGTCTTTGCCTGTATTAAGTTGAAAATGTTATTTTGGCGTCAGGCGACCTACGAAAGAAAAAGTCATCATCAAGACGATCACAGTTGTCGGCGCTGTAAGATGGCTCTGTAGTTTTTCTATTTAAAATCATCTTATTATTTCTATTTTAACTTTTTTTATGTGAGTTAACACTCTTCTTTAACACTCTTATTCAATCCATTTGAACACAAACTTGTTTTCCTGAAAGATTTAAAAATGGGGGGGG